GTTACCAAAAGTCTTTAAAATGATTCTTCATAACAGAAGACTGCTGTATTGAATTGTTTGTCATTATTACTATTAATACAATAGTACTATAGTGGACCTTGACTTAGGTGGGAATATTATCAGAATGAGTTGTGTGGAGATTTTTAGGAATTTTACAGGTTGAAATCGTGAGTCAATTGAAGCTAGACCACCATGGAAAACCTGAAAGCACTGGAAGGCCTTTTCGTCCCAGTATGGGACTCCTCAGCAGTGTGCTTAGTGGTCTAGTTGGTTAAGGGCCTGACGCGAGACTCATAGGTCCTGGGTTCGAATCTCGTGGGGGGCGGGATTGTGGATACGCACTGCTGAGGAGTCCCGCAATAGGAGGAAACGGCCGTCCAGTGCTTCCAGATTTTCCATGGTGGTCTAGCTTCAATTGACTCATGATTTCAACCAGTGAAATTAGGTGGGAATAATCAATTTATTGTTGAATACAGAATTACAGATTACTTTCGTAAAATTTGAAAATCATGCATTAAATACTACATTTGCATATTTTCCATCGATTGCCTCCTAATAACTTCACCGTTTCTCATTTCCTGTTACTATTAGAATTACTATCTGTTAGCATTCCTATTCTCATCTATTCGACCTTCTTAACCTTCTACTGCTAAGCATTCCACTTATCGAAGTTACATACTATTCATATCTGTCTATATAAGTAGCATACACTACAACATTATTTCTTTTAATGTGTATCCCTATTCAAAATTCATTTCTTCAATTTAATCATCTCTCATTTCATTGTGTTGATTTCGAGCTTTTTTATCGGTTCTTTTCATCAAGTCATTATCTATTGATACTTCATATGGATACAATAAACATTTAAATAAATATTCTATGAAGTTGGAGAAATTAAGGGAAAAAGAAGAAAAAGAGAAAGAAAGAAAGTAGGCGAGAGAATAGCTAATTTAGAATTCGATGACTTTCCTTCATATTCTCGTTATCCTCTTCAGTTTTCTCTCTTTCTGTTATTTATTCATAAGTTTGCTTATTGTTTATATCATTTAAAAGTAACAGGAACATAAGAATTTAACTAACCAAATATTATTATTATTATTATTAATACCAAGATCTTAAGTGAAAGCAAGACTAATTCATTTCATATTGAAACATAATATGTTTACTTTTAAGAAGAAAAGTTGTTGTTGTTGTTCTCAAAGTTTCAATATTCTTTCTTTTTCTTCTTTCTTCTTGTATTATCAAATCATTGAAGTACTCTCAAAAAAAGAAAAAAAGCACATAAGCACTTCAATGTATTCAAGTAAAGATTATTCACCAGAGATTGTGTGTGTATATGTGCATGTATGTATGTTTGTATGTGTGTGGGTGTGTGCGAGGGGGGAAGAATGTGTACTGAATACAGAAAAAAAATGACATTTTCAATTTAAGGTCATTTTGAAATAAAACAAAACATAATCATAACAACTATAAGTATAGTTTTAAGCAAACTTGGATAGTGGCTAGCAATAGAATCCACGACTCGTGTCTCATCCAATTCAGTATAATTTTATTTGTATTCAATGATTCCCATTGTTACTACTTAAGTATCTATTACTAAATTTTATTTTTGTCTAAAGTGAAAACAGAAAAAAAAGTTTTCTTCCATTTATTACCAACACAAAAAGAACAAAAAAGAAAAAAACCGAAACGAAAATAGATTTCACAGATTGAAATTATTATAATATCCACGAAAACCACTGTTATTAATCAACATATGCTCACTGGTGATTGGTTTCAAGATGTATATCCTGGAGTTCTAGTGAGAAGCAGTGACCAGTGGAGTCCAACCAGGTCTGTTGTGAGATGGTAACTCACTGAAGACAATGGTGGATGTGTCATTCAATTCCGTGAATTAGTTGAAGTTAGACATCAACACCGTTGAATGCCGTCCAACTCAGTGGTCTAGTGGTTAAGCGCTTGGCGCGAAACCGATAGGTCCTGGGTTCGAATCTCGTGGGGTGCGGGATCATGGATGCGCACTGTTGAGGAGTCCCATACTATGACTAAACGGCCGTTCAGTGCTTCTAGATTTTCCATAGTGGTCTAGCTTCAATTGACTTATAATTTCAATCTGTGAAATTTCTAAAATCTCCATAAACCCCTTCTGAAAATATATTTGACTGATTAATTTAATCTACTACTATTTACCACTTATAATGAATATCAGTATTCAGTTCATCAGTTTAATCATCAATATCATCAATATTATAAATTAGATTGTTCCATTAGACTCCATCTGTTACATTTTTTTCTTTCTTAATTTTTTTTTGTTTTTTACTTTTCAAAACAATATTCTTTGATATTTTCCTTGAAAAAACTTGGACCAGATTGCTAGGTGAAATGTTGGATTTACTTCGAAATTCTTTCGCTATGATTTTTCAAATACACCATTCTTCCTCTTTAATATTCTTCTTTTTTTTGTTTTCTAAAAACAATGTTCATCTTTAGAAGAGTATAATTCTATTACTGTTGTTGAACTGTTTCAGTTTTTTCTCTCTCTCTGTTCTTTTATTCTTTTTTTCTTTTCTTTTTTCTACATTTTTTTCTCTTAGTCGATTAAAAACTTTCTGATGATATTTTCTATTTATTTTTTAATTAAAATTTATGAATGGATACTCATTTAAATAATAACGATGGTGAAATTGTAATGGAGTGGGGAGGGGGAGGAGAAAGAAGAGGTTGTTACTTGTTTAGTGAAATGCAAAATTAATGTTAGTAGTGGGGAGTGGTAGAGATTTTTGAGTTTTATGGTTTATATTACTGATTAATCTTAGTTGAATAATCATTGATAATCCAGAAATATTGGATAGTTGTATGAGTCACGTAGAAAGTGTTCAATCAAGACCTCATCATAGATCTAGTCAAAGACCTTGAAGTTAGACATGTAAACCATTGGATACTAACTAAGCAGTTTGAAGATTAATCGTTTAATCCAAAATATGAATATAATGAGCTCGATACTTGATGGGGTCATAGATAAGCACTTCTAACGAGTATTATGTTAGAACAAAAGAGTTATCTAGTGTTTCTTGGTTTACAGTAATTCTTTAAATAAGATCAGTTCATCACATGAAGTATCAAATGTTAAATATTTCCTCATACATATTTGGTAAAGAAAACCTGGTTAAATGTCTTTTTTTTCTATCTTAAACATCAAAATTATCATGTAAACATTGTCAAATGTTTCGTGAATGAAGCATTCCATAATTATAGTCTAAACCAAGATTCTAAGCATTTATATTTTATCAGAAGGGGTTTGTGGAGATTTTTAGAAATTTTCACAGATTGAAATCATGAGTCAGTTGAAGCTAGATCACCATTGAAAACCTGGAAGAACTGGACGGCCGTTTCGTCTTAGTATGGGACTCCTCAGCAGTGTGCATCCACGATCCCGCACCTCACGAGATTCGAACCCAGGACCTATCGGTTTCGCGTCCAGTGCTTCCAGGTTTTCAATGGTGGTCTAGCTTCAACTGACTCATGATTTCAATCTGTGAAAATTTATATTTTAACAAACAGAAAAGCATCTCAGCAGTTACAGTGTTTCTAATTAAGTTTTTCAGTATTTAGCATTGGGATAATTTGTAACTTTGTGTGATAATACGTTAGTACATATATATTACGATTCACAACTATTCAGTTCAAGTAGACATGACATGAGAAGGCTAATAATGCAACATTTGAATAATAACAAGCATAAGAATAAGCACCAGAGTGTATCAAATAAATCTTTGGTTTGAGTTTTTTTTAGGATGCCTAAATGAAGTTAAAATACTTACTTACTTACGCCGATTACCATTCATAGAGGAGCATAGTACGCTCACCAGCGTTCTTCATCCAATTCTGTCTTGGACGAACCTTCTCAGTTACTTCCAATCGCTATTTATCCGTTTGATTTCGCCTTTCGATTCCCGACGTAGTGTTTTATTTCGGCCTTCCTATTTTCTGTTTCCCTTCAGCATTGTAAGTTAGCACTTGCCTCGTGATGCAATTTGATGATTTCCGTAATGTATGTCCTATCCACTTTCAACATCTTTTCCTTATTTCCTCTTCAATTCGAAGCTTGTTTGTTCTCTCCCACCGTAGGTTGATGGTGGTGGTATCCGATCAACGGACATTGAGTATCTTATGCGAACAATTGTTCATAAATACTTGTACCATTTTGTTGATGGTTGTAGTAGATCTTGAAGTTTCAGCTCCATACAATAGAACTGTCTTGACGTTCGTATTGAAAATTGTGACTTGTGTATGTTGAAACCTACTGATGCAAAGGCTACTTCCACATTGGTTGTTATTACCTGAGTTTGTTGGTGTGTATGGGATAGAATGGCCAGGTCATCTACGAAGTTCAGATCGTCTAGTTGCATCCAAGCTGACCCTTTAAATATTGAGGTCTTCATAATCTAGTCAACCACCAGAAGAAATAGAAAGTGGGAGAGTAAGTAGCCTTGTCTGACTCCGCTCCTCACTAGGAGAAATGAAATGAAATAACGATGGTTAAATTATTTGTTTACTACTCAGTAGTAAAGTAATTGGAAATGTAGCTAATTTGATGATAAATTATGTTCATTAAGTGACATAATCAATAAAGTCTTCAACAATTCAAACGTAAATGATCTATGAAACTGATTTTATTCCAATCACTTATGAAACTTAATCATATCTTAAGAAGAACCAATTAGATAATAAGTTCAATTGATCTGTCACTTATGATATTGTATATATGTGTTCTTATATAATAAGTTATCGACTAAATAATGTCGTATACAACACAGTTCAGTATATAGATAAATCTGACTATTAATCAATGTAAGATATCATTTTGATTAATTTTTAGCATCAAATAAATCCTCATCTACCAACTCCATATTCTTAGTTGCATTATCCAATTTACAGTTTTCCTATAGTAATATCATGATATACTTGACTACAGAAGTATTTTTTTATAAGGTCTATAGAAACGTTACATTCTACTACTACTACTACTACTACTACTACTACTACTACTACTACTACTACTACTACTACTACTACTACTACTACTACTACTACTACTACTACTACTACTACTACTACTACTACTACTACTACTACTACTACTACTACTACTACTACTACTACTACTACTACTACTACTACTACTACTACTACTACTACTACTACTACTACTACTACTACTACTACTACTACTACTACTACTACTACTACTACTACTACTACTACTACTACTACTACTACTACTACTACTACTACTACTACTACTACTACTACTACTACTACTACTACTACTACTACTACTACTACTACTACTACTACTACTACTACTACTACTACTACTACTACTACTACTACTACTACTACTACTACTACTACTACTACTACTACTACTACTACTACTACTACTACTACTACTACTACTACTACTACTACTACTACTACTACTACTACTACTACTACTACTACTACTACTACTACTACTACTACTACTACTACTACTACTACTACTACTACTACTACTACTACTACTACTACTACTACTACTACTACTACTACTACTACTACTACTACTACTACTACTACTACTACTACTACTACTACTACTACTACTACTACTACTACTACTACTACTACTACTACTACTACTACTACTACTACTACTACTACTACTACTACTACTACTACTACTACTACTACTACTACTACTACTACTACTACTACTACTACTACTACTACTACTACTACTACTACTACTACTACTACTACTACTACTACTACTACTACTACTACTACTACTACTACTACTACTACTACCACCACTACTACTACTACTACTACTACTACTACTACTACTACTACTACCGTTACTGTTATGTTCTTATGACCTGTTAATTATCGTGTGATACGATTGCTAATTAGAACACCAACTTACTGACCAGAACAATAATACATAAATCAGTACGAGCAGTCCAGAGTCAATGTTGAGTTCTTATTGTTCCACTATGATAGTAGCTTCTAACTTAACCCATCTAGTTTAGTTAGAACACCAATATTAGTTTATGTTATATGAATCATACATTTCAGACATACACAGTTTATATACAAGCAAATCAGATTGTATTATGCCATAAAGTAGAAAATCACAATTAAACAAGATCAAGCCAGAAGTGGCTGTGAGTGTGAGAGACTGTAACTAATAAATTGAGAATGCCTTAAGAACATATGGAACGCAAAACAACTTTCAACCAATATCGAAGTGAGAATCATCAATACGAACGTCAAGGCAGTTCTACTGTACGGAGTTGAAACGTCGAGAACTACTACAACCATCATCAAACATGTAAAAGTATTTATAAATAGTTGTCTACGCAGGATACTGAACATCCATTGGCCGGATACCATCAGAAATATCCTTCTGTGGGAGAGAACAAACCAGCTTCCAGATGAAGAAGAAATTAGGAAAAGACGATGGCAATGGATAGGACATACATTGAAAAAATCATCAAACTGCATCACGAGACAAGCGCTAACTTAGAATTCCGAAGGGAAGCGGAAAAGAGGAAGGTCAAAGAACACATTACGTCGGGAAATAGAAGCAGATATGAAAAGGATGAATAACAACTGGGAAGGAGCTGAAAAGGATTGCCCAGGACAGGGTTGGATGGAGAATACTGGTGAGAGGCCTATATTCCTCCACGAGGAGTAACAGGCGTAAGTAAGTAAGTAAGGAATAGTAAATCGTATAATAATAGTTAATAGATCAAATAAAAGTTTATAATGAAAGGAATATGAATATACGTATAACACAATGAGAATATATATATAATAGAAGTCTACACATAGATCCTAACTACCCACTTGTTCTTCATCCAGATATAATAACTACTGCTACTACTACTACTATTACTACTCTCATTACTAGTGCTACGACTACTGCTACTACTCACACTACCAACTTGAAACTGAGTGAAATTTTGCGATATTTTTTAAGAAAAAGCAAACTAAATTATTCCTGTCAGAAGAGGGTATTTTTCTATTTCCCTAATATTTCACTTATTCATTCACTTTTTTTCTTTTGATAAATTGCTGAAAACATTAAAATTTCAATAACAACGACAACAACAACAACAGCATCAACAGCAGTAGCAGAGACAAAAATAAGTAACCCAACAGTGAATAATTGAAAGTGTTTTAAATTATTCAAATGAAAAAAAAAAGAGAAAATAATGTCAACTCTGTTGTTGTTGTTGCTGCTGTAGTTTTTCTCTCATTTTATTTTGCTTTTTGTTAATTTCTTCGTTTTGTAGAGAAAAACTAGACTAGATTTTTATTCATCCGCATACAGACACACACATACACACACTCTACCTCTCTCTCACTCTCTGTGTTAGTTCCCCCCTCCTCTCTAGAAGGTATCACATTTGTTACATAACTAATTTTCATTATTTTTTCTTTTTCATATGTTCATTTATTGGTTAGTTGAATTCATTTACGGTTTGGTCATAGAGAATAATTTCTTTTTATGTATGTTTATCTATGAATGTTTTGTTGTTCAATCTTTAGGGAATTCACTTTTTTTGGTTATTTATTTGTTTATTTTTTATTTATTTATTTAAAATTCTGTATTTCCATGATGGAGATATTAAAATATTGTTTGTATCCGTGTGTATGTATGTGTTCATGTGTATATAGGCTGTGTATTTTTCTTTTGGCTATCAACAGAAAAACCGAATGTTTCATTTTCAGGTATCCGTTATCACCTTTTTCTTTTTTCTTCTGTAAATATTCATTCGTTTGTTGTGGTAATTTTTTGTTGTTGGCTTATTGAGGAACATATCAGATCACTATGAAAAACCTGGAAGCATTAGACGGCCGTTTCGTCCTATTGTGAATAGGACGTGGTCTAACTTCAGATGACTCATGATCTCAACTGTTAAAATTAATATAACATCCACAAAAACCCCTGATATTAATCAACATATGCTAACTAGTGACTGGTTTCAAGATGTATATCCTGGAGTACTATTGAGTAGCAGTGACCAGTGGAGTTCAACCGTGTCTGTTTTGAGATAGCAACTCACTGAAGATAATGGTGGACGGTGCTGTGATTTCGTGGATTAACTGAATTTGGACATTAACAACATTGGATGCCAGGCAGCTGAGCGGTCTAGTGTTTAAGCTCTCTCGCGCGAGACTGATAGGTCCTGAGTTCGAATTTCGAGAGTCAAAGTCGTGGATGTGCTCTGCTGAGAAGTCCCATACTAGGACAAAACGGCCGTTAAGTGCTTCCAGGTTTTCCATTGTGGTCTAGCTTCAATCGACTCATGATCTCAATTATTGAAGAACAGTTTAATTTCCATGTATTCTCTGCCCTCCGCTTTTCCAATTGAAAAATAACAACTGAACAGAACAATAGTAAGAGTATTCATAAAATGAACTGACACATTTATTTCTTTCTTTTTAGAATAACATTATCATCGGAATTTAATTTTAGGTGGCTTTCGGGTACTTGACAAAGAGTTTTGTTTCATTCAGACTTTGTGTTAGTCAACCTTTAATTGTCAATCTTTATCAAATTGATATATATATATATATATATATATATATATATTGCATGTAGGATTCAGATCTGTTATAATTGAGCAATTTGTTTCACGACGAATCTCTTGTAAGACGGATACATCTACATTCTGCAGTAATCAACATAACATTTGTTTAGTTCTTAGCTTTCTTATCTATCAAATCACAATGTGACCGCTAGCTCAACTAATTAGACATCTCATTCATAATGCTTTGATGTTAGATGTCTGGAGATATTTGGTAGGAAGTTTTATTTCTTTCACAGTTTCGATAGTTTTCACTAGTCAGTAAGGCGTATCTACAATTGTAAGTAAACTTGTTCTTCTTATGGGGCTAATAGAATTCGATTAACACAAAGAACTAGACAAACACAACATTTCCAAGGTTGGATTCACGAGTCAATCCAAGCTAGATAATTATTGAAAACCTGAAAGCACAAAACATCCGTTCCGTCCTAGTATGAGACTTCTCATCAGTGCGCATCCATGATCCTGCACCAAAACGACTCGAACCCAGGACCTTCGGTCCGACGCACAAACCCTTAACCTCTAGACCACTGAACTGTCCGGCATCCAGCGGTGTTAATGTCTAGCTTCAATCAATTCATGATCTTAAACAATCCTTCATCCATTATCTGTGATGGATAACTATCTCACACCCAACATAGATTCATCGAAGTTAGACATTAACGCCGTTGAATCCCGGCTCAATCCCCATAAAACTTTAAAACTAACTATATTTATCTAAGCAAACTTTCTGTTTCGTTTATTACCTAGTTTTAATGCAAAAATAAAACACCCTACAGATTTGAAATGTAGTTAATACTTGATTTCTCATATATAATTATATGCACTGAAAGTATTCATTCTCTAAAATAGATGATAAAAATTGAATATTTCAGAATTGTTTTATACTACTGACAAAATTAAGTAACCTATATATTTTGGAATTCTTTATTACTAACATTAACACCGTTGGATGCCGGCTCATTGGTCAAGTGCTTAAGTGCTCGCGCGCGAAACCAGTAGGTCCTGGGGGCGAGGTCGTGGATGCGCACTGTTGAGGAGTCCCACAATAGGACGGAACAGTCATCCAGTGCTTCCAGGTTCTCCATGGTGATCTAGCTTCAACTGACTCATGATCTTAACCATTGAAATTATTATTATTGTCTTGTATTATCAATTTCAATGATCTACTTATACACAATATAGTAATATCAATAATTTTCTTTAAGTGATAACATCAACTATTATATTTTTACTTTCTACTACACCCATGACTTACTCATCATTATTAAATATATATAGAAATGTAATTACGTATATACATAAGGTAATTTTTATTCAAACTTTTATAACCACATAATAAAGGCAGAATGATAGTGAAAGAGAGGGAGAGAGAGAGAGGAAGAGAGGGAGAGAGGGAGTGAGTGAGTGAGAGTAAGAGAGATAGAGGGTTAATGAGTAAAATAGATAAATAATGAAAATATTTTCATTTAGAAAACTCACCATTATTTCAGATGTAACTAGACTAGTTAATAAAAGCATATATATATATATGTTGGACTAATTTCCCTTGGGAGAACTATATTTCTCGGTTCATTTTCCTTAATTTATATTGAGTTTATGTATTCAACACAGATGTTAATGCATTGATCTATTAACTGTTCAATATTTTGGATGTTTATCATATAAACATGAATAAAATAAACATAAAATTATCTAATTTGAAGAAGTAAGCGAATCAATATATACATATATATTGAGATCATGAATTGATCAGTGTTAGACCATCATTAAAGACTTAGAAGTAATGGATGGTCACTTCATCCTAGTAATGGGATTCCTTAGTATTGAACATTCACGGCTTTGAACGTGGGATCTATCGATATGAAACTAATTATTAACGAAAAGAACAAGAACAAAGATTCCATGTTTTGTAGTTTTTAATGGTAACCGTAAAACACTTAAATGGTTGTTATTAACTCATTGAGTAGACTGATGAGATTTTTATCTTTGAATGACATACGGATAATTCTTTATTCTGAAAAGAGTAAGAGCAAAGATTCTAGTAGAATAGTATGAATTCATTTTATTTCGTAGGTTTTCGTCAGCTGCTTACAACCTGTGATATTTAAAATCATAATTACATAATGGGTTTAAATTACTCACATGAGAGGATTTAGTTGGAAGTTAATATTGAAGACATATTCGTATAGTATAGTAAGGGTGTAAATAAATGTAATAGACTGAATATTGTAAATATATCCCTTATGTAAAAGAACATTCTACAACATTGGTTGTGACAACAGTTCAAACGGTTAGAAACAAATAATTATATAATGAGTAAACATTCACAGGAATAAAATGAGTAGAGTTCCGTTGATAAAATATGATTATTAATTTGAAAGATAGTTGAAGTCGCTTTCCATCATGGATTAATATTGCTTTAATGAAGACCTCCTCAACCAGATATTGTTCGTATGCTCGCTAATAATAGTGTGTTGAGAATTCTCAGGGTTTAAGTACGAAGTCATGATCGATAGGATTCAAATATGTCTAGAATTAGGTAGTGGTCCACTTATGGTATTAAAGTTGGATGTGTAAATATATTAGATTCCAAATCTATAGTCTAAATGGTAGAGATTTACTGTGTTACCTGAATGTCTTAAGTTCGAAATCTGTGATACAGTTGTACATTCACTGATGAAAAGTTGTATAACAGGACGAAATAGTTGTGAATTACTTTCTGGATTTTATTGACCCTTCCCAGTTGATATTAATTTGTTGAAAAAAATTAACTCACAGTTCAACTACTCTTCCCTAAACAATCCAGTTAAATAATCTTGATTAAATACACTTTAGATGCAAACACGGATGATAGATAGCGGCGGAATCCAGAAAGAGCGTCTCGTCCTATTTGAGACTCGTCAGCTAGGTGAATAACGCGATGGCATCTGAAATGAGTTCAACTGGGTCCGAGTCTCGGAGTAAATATGAACTCAGGGATACAAGTACATCCAGCTGACAAGTACCAAATAGGGCGAAACGCCTGTCATGGATTCCACTACTAGACACCATCCATTCAAGCTTATAATGCTTGTGACTTAAGACAATATCGAGGAAATCCGTATAGGATGCTCATATGTCAACAAGAGACTGATCGATTGCAGTTCTGAACATCAATGGGAAGATTCAAATAAACGACACAAAATGAATTGACACTTTATATGTTTAGAGGTAATCTTCAATGACTTAACAGAACAAAGACTGAAGACAATAACTCTCAAAATTATTTTTGTTATTTTATTATGTATATTCCGATTGTGTAATTACTAAATTAGTGGACCACTACGACTCCATATTCCATTCGATTGTAAGATTCCGTTTGAGCTATACACTGTTACTGTACATTTTATTATTCCTAGCTTATCGTTGTCTAATTATTTACAGCCTTCCCGATTCACAACCACTTTAGTATATTTGTGTATGATTTTCCATTTCGCAGTGTTATCCAGTTCGTCATATCCATTTATAATTCAAAAAATAATAATAGAATCTAGATTTCTGCCTTCTCCCTCCAGACTCAAGTCATGAGACAAAAGAAAACGTGCGTATCAGTAAAACGATCGATGCTAAGCTTACGTTAGCTCAAAATTAACCCTGGAGTTCAACCAGGTCTGTTGTGAGACATCAACTCACTGAAGACAATGGTGTGCGGTGGCGCAACTTCGTGGATTAGTTGAAGTTAGACATTAACACCATTGGATGCCGGCCAGCTCAGTGGTCTAATGGTTAAACGCTCGCGAGCGAGACTGATAGGTCCTGGGTTCAAATTTCGCGAGGTGGGATCGTGGATGAGCACTGTTGAGAAGTCCCATAGTAGGACGAAACGACCGTCCAGTGATTCTAGGTTTTCCATGGTGATCTAGCTTCAGTGGACTCATGTTTTCAACTATTGAAAGATCAGAACATATCATTGATTAAGGCTAGGAACGTTGAGCTGCAATCCAAATAGAATAAGAATACGTGGTAGGGAAATTATTATCCGAATTCTGGCAAACGAAATGCAAAAAGGATATCAATTGACTTTTCAGACATAGCAGACGAGAAACTTTGATCGACCAAGGTTTCCTACCATTTGGAACTCGTTGATAAGATGCATCTGTAATCATGGGAGAACTAGTACTCCATGGTGGACTCGATACCTCGTCATTATGTTTCACAGTCTGATACGTTACTATGTTACTATTCAGACAGCGACTGACTTGTTGTAGGACTAATTTGGACTGATTGACCCTATGAAATAGGACCTAGAAAATCACAACCACGGTTATACATAGTAGTTTTAGGTGAACGATTTTCAAGCACATATATCCATAATAGAAGTCTCTAAAGAATGGAAATGATTTTTTGTCCTATAATAATTTGATATAACATATAATAGGATTGAGTTGTCTTAACAACGGATCATGTCTCTCTGACACATACAATAGTGTATTGTTCTATACAGCTTCTAAACAATGACGCAATATGATTAGTAGAGCATTAGTAGATCGGTCTCTGTAAAAGCAAAAGAAACAAAATAACCGATTTCTATGTTAATGTATTAATTAGGAAATAATTTATTTTCATTGTAACAATAAATTAAGGAGAATGAACTGAGGGTGATGGGGGAAGGATAGAAATAAATGAGGAACTATTTACTATCAGAATTGTTCCGTTTCATTTCGTTATATATAAATATATACACAGACACACACATACAACATAACTTTTTCATAGTTTCATTTTTCTATGATTGGCATAGTTAATTTACAATAATATTGAGCTGAAAATTAAACAGTCTGTTAATTCCCTTAGGATTTTTATGAATTTCGTAATCACTACAACCAATCAACCATTTATCCACCCCATCATTCCCCTTTCATTGATGTATATATATAAATAAGCTGAATAAATGAACACTGACTTAGATGATTGTATGAGAGTGATATTCGACATGTTATTATGCTCATATGTCATGGTGTTTAAGAATAATGCCTTAAGGGTTTGTAATTAGATGGTGTTAAATGAGTCGTGAATATATATTTATTTATTGATAATTGGTGTTGGTCTTGTTGAACTGTAGCAAAGTAATTCGATCTACACTTTGATGGTTTATTATTTCATTCAAAGAAAAAAAGAGAGAAAAAAGAAGAAAGAAAGAAGATGTAGGTGGGAAGAAGGGAAATAAGCAGTCAACCAAAACACAATGCTACATACAAATGAGTATATATATATATATATATATATATATATATATATATATAATTACATCATTAGGTAGGTGATTTTAAACACAACAGTGTAAAGCAAAGCTCAGACTTCACAGTTATGTATTGATTTTGATATGTTTGGAAGTGAAGAAGTAAACTTAAATACATTTACACTTGTGAAATAAAATGTCTTATCTTATTTAGAATATCTGAAATACTCGTATATATGTTTATTCATTTTAATGTCTTAAAATTTAAAGAATTTATGTAGTCTATATTACTACTTATTTGACTTCTATCACTGTAAGATCATATTGTGGTGTGTGCTACTGATATCGAGAAATATAAGTAGTATGTATCATTAATCAAAAGTGAAATGCCTGGTGGTAGAAGATTAATAAGATCGAAGGGAAGAGAACGAGAACAGAAAATCATTGGTGTAGAAATGTAGGAACAATCAAGTCTGAAACGATTGACTGACATTTTGCAGTAGGAATAGTCAAGTTTGATACAATTGATTGAGATTTTGCAAATGAAGGATTCACTGTATGGTTCTAAGATTTTACTAAGAGATTCTGTGATTCTGTGTTAAGGTACATTTGATTGTCCCCATTTGTGTTCTCGTTCGCTACAATAGCTCCTCAAGGGTTGAGTTGTCAACCTGTAATGCTGAGATTTCATATTTCACGTCATGCACAGATCTTGACTAGACAACCGCTGAACATTTAAAAGAATTGACATATACTTTGTCTCAGTATAAGGTTTTTTAACAGTGAACATTAACAACCCAAATGGGGCTCAAAACCAGGAATATCAGGTCTTGGTGAAGACATTTAATCTTTAAACCATCGGGCAAGTATCTAACAACAATCAGTTCTAGATATTATACAACCATCTTTGATTGCCATTGGTCAATAACTGCCTCATACACTTGAATACCGATACACTGGTCTAAAGGTTGGATGATCTTCGCGAGACCTGAAAATTCCAGTTTCAAGCCGCGTTGTGATAACTTTACTCCCATTGTTGAGAAGTTTCATACTGGAAAAATCATATGTCTATTATTTCTTGACTTTCAACTGTTGTCTAATTCGGATTAGTTCGTGATATGAACCATAAAAATCGACCACACGAAAAAAATATTCTACTATTTTTCAATACATTTACTGATTTTCACTAAGGGATTTGTAAAATTGTACAACTTAATACATAGATTGTGTATAAATAATTAATGTGTATTTTCCCATCCTTTTGTTTATTATCAGTATGAGGTGGTGGAGATTGTTAAGTTTTTAATTGAGATCATGAATCGACTAATGTTAAACCATCATCGGAAACCTAGAAGCACTAGAAGACTGTTTCGTTTTAGTGTGAGACTCCTCAGCAGGGTGCAAGATCCACGATTCCGTTCGCGAGGGTTGATTAATAAGTAGTGTTTGATTTATAATTTCTTGTTTAAGTTACGGGATACAAATCAAGAAATATCTAACCGATACTATTTTATCACACTAAACAACTTTCTACTCCTTCTAAGCTTATCCTAAATTAGTTAGGTAGAAATGTACCGATGTACAGTATAATTATCTATAGAACACTGATTAAATAGATTTAATTTGTAATACTTTTGAATATCCCGTTGTTTATATTTGACTGAATTTTGGTCAGTCTTAGTTGGTATATGTACAACCTGTGTGGATTGCATCAGTATAGAGATTATATTACAAATTTATATGAAATAGATTCAATTTGGTCATCAAAAACTAATTACATATTGGAGGTATCGAAGCAATCAGCACAGGTTGCACAGATACCAATTTAGACGAACCAAAATGAAGTTAAACCATAAACCATGGGATAATATAAACCAGTAAAAAATTAAACTGGAACTAATACATTTTTGCACTAACAAGTGGCTATTTGAACTCCATAACTAAGTGAATAAGGGGTTGGCGTTTGAAGCGAAAGGGAATGGATTTAAACCTCAAGGTAAACATCAACTCTGAGATGTGTTACACACATCTGGTTGATCAGTCCCGAATAGGATGAAATTCGCATCCCTTTGGTTACACAGTTAACCATATTTCATCTATTCTACAGAATAAATAATCTTAACGTTATGATGCGAAAATCGACCCCTAATTAAATTCTATATCTTAAGTCATTTCCAACAAATTAGATTTTAGTCGTTAAGTGAAATTAAAAACATTATATTCACTCCTTTTTCTAAAAAAGGTTTCGAAACTAGAAATCATTTTTCTTGTTCTATTTTTCAGTTTACTCAACTATAAGTCCAGTGATTAAAGCACTTAGTCCAAATGAAGGATGGGTTACGGGTGGTGAAACGATTACTGTGATTGGTGAGAATTTTTTCCCCGGTCTACAAATTGTTTTTGGATCAACTGCTGTATGGGGTGAAGTAAGTGATGATATTTGTTTACTAAATTATTTAATCCATTGTGAAGCTGCTCTTGATACTACTTAAATGAACATGTAAGACATTGAATAGATTCTAAATACAATTTCAAGTTGTAAAGTAGCAATTGTCCCTAAATTCAGTTAGAAAGGATACAATAATTCGATAGTTCCCATTATTATCGTTGTCTAGCAAATACACTCAAGTTCTATATCGCAGAAATATACATTCACCTTATTACTAAACTTGTGTTGATATAGTAAGAAAGAGTACAAATAATGTTTCTATACTCTTGTTCTCTATATCTCAAATCTATGGATGATATGTCGAATAATAATATTCTCCAACACCATTAACTATATGGTTATAAAAACAATTACTAATACACAAATGTTTAGCAAATTGTTCTCAGGTGTAAATTTTGTGTCTTAACAAGTAGCTAATACGAAGTTATTTAAAGATTATAATTTTATTAATAATTAAACTGATGGCGTGTGTTCGATCTTTGCGAGGGGGGGATCGTAAACTTCAAATATTGATGAATCCAACATTAAGTAGAAAAATATACCATTTAGTCACTGGTTTTCGGTGTTACCTTAACGAAGATCAATCTGTGATGAGTACAGTATACAGTGATAATTCATCAATTATTTTTAGGGTGTATATGCTTATTTGAATAGTTGGTCAGCAGTAATGAGAATAATATAGTGGTTACTGTTTAGATATTTAAGTATAACCTTTTTACATAATAGATAATGAATCCAAATACTTCAGTTTCTTTACGTTAGTTGACAATTAAGTGAAATCGACAATATCCAATTGTAAGATCAATTACGAAACAATATTTACTTTCACTACTACTACTACTACTACTACTACTACTACTACTACTACTACTACTACTACTACTACTACTACTACTACTACTACTACTACTACTACTACTACTACTACTACTACTACTACTACTACTACTACTACTACTACTACTACTACTACTACTACTACTACTACTACTACTACTACTACTACTACTACTACTACTACTACTACTACTACTACTACTACTACTACTACTACTACTACTACTACTACTACTACTACTACTACTACTACTACTACTACTACTACTACTACTACTACTACTACTACTACTACTACTACTACTACTACTACTACTACTACTACTACTACTACTACTACTACTACTACTACTACTACTACTACTACTACTACTACTACTACTACTACTACTACTACTACTACTACTACTACTACTACTACTACTACTACTACTACTACTACTACTACTACTACTACTACTACTACTACTACTACTACTACTACTACTACTACTACTACTACTACTACTACTACTACTACTACTACTACTACTACTACTACTACTACTACTACTACTACTACTACTACTACTACTACTACTACTACTACTACTACTACTACTACTACTACTACTACTACTACTACTACTACTACTACTACTACTACTACTACTACTACTACTACTACTACTACTACTACTACTACTACTACTACTACTACTACTACTACTACTACTACTACTACTACTACTACTACTACTACTACTACTACTACTACTACTACTACTACTACTACTACTACTACTACTACTACTACTACTACTACTACTACTACTACTACTACTGAACAAATAAAATTACAAATAAAAAACTTACGTTTTCAATTGGTGAAAGGTGAGGAGTTTCAAGGTACTTCTTAGAAAAGTCCCTTGGGACCGAGGAAGATTTTTGTTCAATCAGGGTTGAATAAAAGTATTTTATGAACATCAAGAGCAGTGACGAATCATCTGTCACATGTTTGCGTGGATATTTATCCTCTTGTTATCATATTAACTTTGCTTCTAGAACTCTCTAAAAAGCCAAGGCTTTGTTAAATAGTATGAATACGCATGACCTTTTAGTAAAGCTCTTTTGTTGCACTTGGCGGCTATTCTGTTGTGTTCAGGTTTCTGAGCAGATTTAATTTAGGCTTATTAGAAGTGACCAGAAAATTGGATTGAGTGTTCAATTAGCAAAACGTATCAATAATTGACTAGAATATCCACTTTACATAGTTAAATAAACACTTGGATGATTTATTAAATTCTACTGTTATAAATTGGAGACAAAACCCTAATAAAACTTGATTTTTAAGCGTGTATGGATATTGGCTAGTAGTGGAATCTAGGACTTGCGTTTCTTCCTTTTTGAGACTCGTCAGCTAAATGTACCTTCATCCCAAAGTTGATGTTCACTCCACGACTCAAACCCAGTACTATTCGCTTCAAACGCTATCACATTATCTATTTAGCTACTGAAACTGATCAATTGAAGTCCTGAATAACAATAGGAAGATACAAGTAAAGCAACACCAAGTGAATCGTGCTAGGGTTGAAGCTATCACGAGTTCACATAATCTACGAACGAGAAACAAGACTCGGTGACCCAAGACCAGTAAGCTAGCTATTGATGCGTCCCAGCCCCGCTAACTAGAGGGAGAAGTCCAAGCTTGGAAAAGGGAAGTATACTCTTCAAACAGCCAGAAACGAGCGATAACAACAAACACAATTCAGAACGTATATATACAGTACAAAACCATCCTTGGGGAGAGTTACCAAATAGCATACTAAAAGACGCAACGGACCAATAGCATTTAAAATATTTCCCAGTGGGAAGTACGATATGAAGGTGACAAGAGCGCATTTGGCGCGAAAATAAAGAAATTCAAATTTTCTAAATAAAATTACAAAATTAGTTCCATTCCCAAGTGAGTTCTGGGGATCTAACGTCCCCAAAAAATTGAAATTTAATTGTTTTTAAAATAACATTTAAACATTTATAAGTTGTTTGTCCTATTTGTTTTTGCTTTTATTATCTCTTATAATCAGTTGATTACACCACATGCTCTACGTGTTAGTACTCCACCAAGACATTTATCTGGTGTAGTTGAAGTGACATTAGCATTTAAAAATAAAACATTCTGTAAAAACAATCCAGGTAGATTTGCTTATATTGGTAAGTATATCATTTTTAATATTAAATAATTATCTCATCTATTTTTATAATCATCATACTCTTTGTCATTCTGTTCCAGTAATTGATTGAGGGTATTATATAACTTGATTTTCTTAGGTTTACTAACTTGTTTCTATGTCTAGAAAAACATAATTTGTTTATTATATTCATAAACTAAATAATAATTTCTATATTCTTATAAACTTATATCACAATTGATTGATCACTGGGTGGCGATCAATGTCATGCATGTCTAGTCCTTATCACCACCCAGTGATCAATCAATTGTGATTACATCTCAGCCCTACAGGAGGTCGGTCACGACTCGGATAGCTCAGTGGTAACGTCTCGGACTGTGAAGCTGGGTAATACGAGATCGAACCCGCCAGGGAGAACCAGTTCCTTCGAGATTACAGGTACACCTTTCTGACGAGTGCCAAGTAGCACGAAACATGGGTCCAGGGTTTCCTGTCGACTACCTCCAACCACCATCTATAAACTTAAATCTCTATTAAATAACTTTGTAGTTACAAAATCAAATTAAATAAGAAAGATTAGTTCAGTGAAGAGTTCTCTTTCAAAGCTGTACAATCACAAATATATATGTATACTTATTTTTTACAGGATGATAATAATACTGATAATAAACTTCTGTTATACATGGTGACAGTGAGGTTAAATAAACAAAGGTATTAAGAAAGTTTTTTAAAACAAGGAAAGTTTAATAATCGTTTGATTTTTAATGGCTTAAGTATTGGGCCTTTTAAAGGAGATACTTATCAAAAAACGGATATCCTTCGGTATTTATTGATAAGAACATGAAGCCGAATACGTCAAAAACACAAATGATTACAGTAGAAAAGAAAACTTTATACATGAACATCGACTTCAAAGGTGATAGAGCGACATATATCTTAAAGAGGAGAATTTCGGACTCCTTAAAAAGAACATTCTATGCAGCAACATGGCTAATATTATTCTCCAGCCGATCATTGTTCACCAATAATCTGAAAGATAAATTCTCACATCTGACCAATTTAGTGTGCATTTACCAATTTACCTGCTCTTGTGGAGCTGTGTATATAGGTCGTTTGATGCGTACTTTATCCAAAAGAATTCAACAACATTACACAGTATGACTAAGAAAAGAGGTGGAAACGGCTCAATAAGAAGTTCTATAATCGAACACCTTGTGAACATAGATCATTCAATCAACACAGACTAAGCGTTCAAAGTCATCTAAAAGGTAAGTAGAAGTCTCCCTAAGACAATTAGACTGCATCTTCTTTGCATTGTCGAAGCAATAACCATACATCTGGAAGAACCATAATTGTGTGTGCAAAAGAGACTGGTACAGCCTCTCCTTCTACCATGGTCTTAATGTATTACAGATTTTCTCTCTTTTTCATACTCTTGTTCCTTTACAGCCATCTGCTTCACCTTCCATCTTCTCTTTGAATATTCTCCCCCCCCAACTGGTTTGTTTTTATTTCCACGATCATTCCGATTACATTTCATCTCTGTTTCAACATTTTATTTTATCATGCTGAGCCATCCTTTTCCAATGATAATTTCCCCATCCTTTGATGAATACTTAAGCCATTAACAATCAAACGATTATTAAACTTTCCTTGTTTTAAAAAACTTTCTTAATACCTTTGTCTATTTAACCTCACTGTCACCATGTATAACAGAAGTTTATTATCAGTATTATTATCATCCTGTAAAAATAAGTATACATATATATTTGTGATTGTACAGCTTTGAAAATGAATTCGTCGAAAAGAGAACTCTTCACTGAACTAATCTTTCTTATTTAATGTCTTAATGGGCGTATTCCTTTTACAAAATCAAATTACCTTGTTAAGAAACTCTTGACTAATTAATTAGGTAGATAGTAATATGTGTGATGAGTTTTGAACATATAATTCGTTTTACAAGTGAAGATAGATGGTAACTAGCAGTGGAATCTTAGAGTTGATGTTCACTTCAGGACTCAAATCCAATCCTAAGTCCTGGTAGCCACTAGTTTGTGAAATGGTATGAAGATTAAATTTATTTTGTATTGTTTGTTTGAATCCTCCTATTGATGTTTTAGGACTACAATTGATCAGTGTCTTGTTGGCATATGTGCATCCTGTGTAAACTACCTTGAGTTGAAATACTTTTCCCTAGACCAACCAGTTAAATAATTTTGATTAAATACACTTTAGATGCAAATACGGATGGTGGATAGCAGTGGAATCCACGATGCACGTCTCGTCCTTTTGGGAACTCGTCAGCTAGGTGGATAACCCGATGGCGTCTGAAATGAATGTTACTGGGTCTGAGTCCCTGAGTAAATAAATATCAACTCAGGGATGCAAGTACATCCAGGTGACGCGTTCAAAATAGGACGAAACGCCCGTCATGGATTCCACTACTAGACACCATTCATCCAAGACCATAATGCTTGTGACTTAAGACAATATCGAGGAAATCCGTATAGGATGCTCATATGTCAACAAGAGACTGATCGATTGCAGTTCTGAACATCAATGGGAAGATTCAAACAAACAATACAAAATGAATTTAAATAATTTGCTTTTCATGCATAATATAATGTTTTATGAAATAAATGAATTATGGCTAACAGTAGAATTCAGGGAAATGGTTTCGTCCTGTTTAGAACTCGTCAGCGTTAATGTTTACTTCGGAACTAGAACGCAGTACTTATTGCTTTGAATGCTCACAGTGTTTTCAATTGAGCTGTTGAATTCAAAAATTACTAACATTTTTGAAGGTTTCGGTGCTTAAGGGTTTAAACAATCCTAGTGTTGATATTTAGAACCGAATTCTGGATTAATAATAATGTATATCGACACAATTTGCACTGGATGTGCACATATCAACAAAGACTGGTCAACTAATAAGTTCTGAGTATTGATACTGGGATGATTTAAACTCTTAATAAATGAATAATATTATAATCCATGTAAAATAATTTTTTATTTTCTTATCCATATTAATAAAAAGGAATTATTCATATAAAACTATACTGACTTTTCTTCATCTAGCAATGACAGATCCTACAATTGAATATGGTTTTCAAAGATTATGCAAAATTATTCCACGTCATCCAGGTGATCCAGAACGTTTACCACGTGAAATCATTTTGAAACGTGCTGCAGATTTAGCCGAAGCATTATATACAATCCCTAATCGTGGTGGTATTGGATTTCGATCACCACATTTACAACTAGCTTCACAATCACTACAACCAACATCATCATTATCATCCTCTATATTTTGTACTAATCAAGAAGAAACAGAAGAGAGAGCAGAAGAAGAAGAAGAACGTCATCAACAACATTCACAACATCTAACAGACAGTAATCAAAATTTAGAAAATCGATGTACACCATCTTCAAATAATGTTAATAATAACAATAATACTAGTCATATTTCATTATGTCCTAATGTTTCCTCAGTGCAAATGGGATCAATGAATAGTTTTCTAGCACTAACTGGTCAAAATGGTATTAATTTTTATCCATATGGAATAACAACGTCAACGACAACATCAGCGGCAGCGCCATCAATTCTATCAAATTTAGAGTTAAATGAACATCGTGACAACTTATCAGCTTTACATGATTCTAGAATTAGTTTACATAAAGCTTTTTATACATTTGATAGAAAAGATGTTGACAATGTAATATTAAGCGGTTATTGTTGTTGTACTACAACTGGTACATCAACAACCACAACAATGGCAACAACAACGACAACAGCACATTTAATCCATTCCAATTCTAATTCAACATCGATTATAAATGATGATATTATTGGTATGAGTCAAAGTAGTCCTGAAAGTGGTACAGTCACTAGTAATAGTAGTGGTGGTCTAGAAAGTGTACAAAGTGATATGAATTGTTTAGATCATATAAATCATAATAATTCTCCAACAAATTCAAATAATGATGAATTACAAAATTCACTAAACTGTCATCATCATCAACAACAACAACAACAACAATCCCATTCACATCGTCAGTCACAATTGAATCTTCATCGAAATCAGCATGGATTTGAAGATATTGTCGAAGATGATAATGAAGAAGGCGATAACAATGATAATAACAATAATAATGTTAATAATATTCATGATCATTTAAATAATCATAGATCATGTTTAATGTTAAGTAATAAAAAATTGAAACAGTCAAATATTTACACAGAATCTATTAACCATAATCATAATCATCATTATCATCATCATCACCATCCATTGAAGAGGTTACGTTGTGATTGGTCAATAGAAGAGAAACATATGAATGAAACTAGACAACGACAAGAAATATATGATGTAATAAAAATGCCAAATGATTCATTTCAAACTATTACACGTAATATAGCACCATTTTTAAGGCATATCAATGATGAAATGAATTATAATGTTAATGTTCTACCTGAAATGAATTCATCAATAATGAAACATCATGATAAACCATTAATCACTACATGTTTAAATACAGATTTTGCATCGAATCTAAATCCTTCTTATCATGTATCACAAGCAAATATATTAAATTCAAATAATGATAATTGTTTATTGAAATCAGTTAATACAAATGAAATAACTGAGGTAATGAATCAAATTTTTTATGAAGTTTTTAGTATAGGGTTGTGAAGATTATTAAGTTTTTGATTGAGATCATGAAACGATTGATGCTAGATCACCATTGAAAACTTGGAAGCACTGGACAACTGTTTCGTTGTATTGCGAAAATCCTCAGCAGTGCGTATCCACGATCCCTCTGCTGGGATTCGAAACCAGGGCTTTCAGTCTCGCGTGAACACGCTTAACCTCTAGACCACTGAGTCGTCATCCAACGGTTTTAATGTCTAACTTCAACCAATCCACGAAATTGTGCGACCATCTTTCATTTTACTGAGGTAGATATCTGTCTCTACCCGACGTGGATTAGTTTCATCGGTCACGGCTTCTCACTAGAATTCCAAGAATTCCCTCACGAAGCTAGTCACTAGTTAGCAAATGGTAATTATCAGTATGGGGGTTGTGGAGATTATTAAGTTTTTGATTGAGATCATGAACCTATTGATGTTAGACCACCATTGAAAACGTGGAAGCATTGGATGGCCATTTTTTCCTAAGCAGTGTGCATCCATAACTCTATACCAAAAAGTTTATATTCTTGAAATTAAAATGAAGTTTTAAATATGACAAGAAGTTATAGAAGACTGAAAGATGGTTTTTCTATTCTCATATGTAGTGGTTTGAACTCTCCTTTACAAATGTGAAAATAAAATTTATCGTCGTTCCATAAGCTAGTGGCTATTTGAACTTGATAGTTCAGTGAGAAACGCTATGAACGTTTAAAGGGAGAGGTCCTGGATTTGTGTCCCGAAATCAACATTAACACAGATGTGATAGGTACATTCAGCTGACGAGTCCCAAATAGGTTAAGATATACGTTCTGAATTCTACTACAAGCCTATATCTAACTTTACTTTAAGATTGTTTTTCCTAGTTTTAAATTTTTCAGTATTAAGATTGTTGGTGGGCACTAATGAGGAGTCCCAAAAATGAGACGTACTAGCTGTCTAATCCCTAATGAATTCCCAATGCTACCTGTAGTTGATTTCATTTTGGGTTAAATTCTGCGTCATGCTTTAACAACATCAACAAACCGAAATTTCGTTTAGTATAGAAAATAGAATAAAACCAATGCTTATATACTATATTTATCTGAAACGTTGACAAATATTCTACCTAAAGTCAACTCTAACGAAATACAACTAAGGTGCTCCGCCACAAAGCCTCAGACTACAAATCATGGACGATATGGGTTCGAACCCAACATGTAGCTTCAGTTTCCTCAAGACTATAAGCATGCCTTGTTGATAAGTATCAACTTCCTCCAGAAGCCCAGAAATGTATAGTTACTTCTATCAAATTTAGCGGTAAAATTCATCCTATACGCTTTAGTTTGTCATTTTTCAGATCATCTACTCATAATAACTTTATTGTAAACCGAAATGTACATTAAATGTAACAGATACACACATTATCAATCTAATCAATCATAAGTAGGTATAATTGAGTGTATTTTAGCATCCATGAAAGTTTGGAGAAAAATTTACTTGCGAATCAAGTTGTAAATTACTGGTAACGTAGTGTCATGTCTAATTGATAATTTAATATCAACCGAAATTTTCATAAATAAATATTGTCCATGTAAATTAAGGTTAATTAACTCGTGGTGTATACTACTCAGTGTCAACAGATATAAGTAGTAAGTAACACCAATCGGTAATTGAAAACGCGACACCAGAAGGCTATCAAGATCGACTTGAAGAAAAAATAAAAATAAAAATACGAAAGAATTGTGAATCAGAAGAAGCATACACAATGTAAAGGGTAGATGATGATAGTTTGCAAATAAAGTATTCAATGTATTGTTCTCATATGTTATCAAGAGATTCTGTTATTTCCCATTGAAGTACATTTAGCTGCCCCGACTTATGTTCTCGTTCATAATAAACTTACTTTAATTGTAAATATCTTTTGTAAGCTCGTACGGTCAGTTGGCACATATTTGTATCAGTTGACATACTGATAGGTTCAAAGTAAGAAGAAACATTCATACTGACCTTTGCTATTTGTCAATATCTAGATAATAATGATAATATACTATAATAACCACTGATTAATGAATATTTCTTTATTATTTTTTTTATATAATAAACCCATTTACTAGTACAATGAACATAGAATTAAAACAAGTAACAATGTCAATCAATCAATTTGTCCACAAATTACATCCTATTCAAAATTTAATAAGTCATCATCTCTTTATGAACATAATAGAGATCGTCATCAGATACAACTTTCAAAATCAACTTGTAGATTACCATCAAGTGAGTTAACTTCTGTGGTTGAAAATAAAACGACAGATGATAATTCATGGACTGGATCATCATATAACTTACAGGTTAGTTAAATTATCACCATTATTATTATTATTAAATTCACTTGGTATTGTTTACTTGAATCTTCTCATTGATGTTTTAGAACTGTAATTGATCAGTCACTTATTGGCATATGTACATTTTGTGCGGATTGCCTCGAGTCCTGGAGTGAATATCAACTCTGGGATGCAAGTACATCTAGTTGACGAGTCCCGAATAGGACGAAATGCCCACTACTAACCACTATCCATCTTTGTTTATTATCGTTATTATTAGTCAGGTTTATCAAATGGTATACGTTGAGTTGATATTTACCACAACGAAATCCAAGGTCAAATAATGTATGATAGACGGAAATAAGTATACTCATTATAGAGAAGGATTATCTAGTAGGAAAAGACAAATGAAAATTAGAAGCGACGACACTGAAAAGTGTATGTATTCATCGAAATTAACTCTTGAAATTCTACTTAAGAAATCATAACTAATGAAATTTATTCATGTTATAATTAAATGGACACTAAAAATCCTACTCAATAATAGCTGAACGATAACGTAAGTCTGAGGAATAGAAGCATTTGAACTATTGGGTTCCGGTTAAGTAGTCTAAAGTTATCGAGCTCATTACGCAATCTGGAGATATTGAATGTGATCCAATATTTAGTAGTAGTACGCGCATAATTATCCAGAGGAGCTCATAAACACAAATTAACTCTTCAACATGACCTGGTATTCCGTAATTCAACTGTTTATTTCGGTATGTAATAAAAACTAACCTCATTTATTCTTATTGATAAAAGTTCATTTGATTGAACTCGATAATTATAAATAGTATAATTAGTTTAATCATTAAACCAATTATAATTGAAACAATTTTATCATATGGCTCAATCAATTGCTAAATAATAACCATGGCGAGACGACAATTTATGGACGAACCGACCACGTATAAGATAACAGGTCTCGAGTTCTGGTGCGAAATTCACTCATCCATTTGGCTAAGTAGAGTCTTGGGATTATAGCCGATGTCAGTTCGTAATAAAAATCCTAAATATAATTCCTAACCTTAACCATCAACTGGAAATCACAATTCGAATTCCTCATACATGTTTATAACCCTCATTTAGTCCTAGTTATTAGGTAGACATTCTCAAGGTCAGTCTAGCTTCAATGGTAGTAAAATATAAAAGAAGGATTGTGCATAAGTATATAATACAAGAGAGAAGAATTATTTGGTAGAAAGTAAGGTATAGAGTAGTTTTAATCTCACGGTTTGAGAGAAGACACAGTGTATACACCTACAACATTGTGATCGATTCTGAGTAATGTCACCAAGAGTTTCCAACCATTGGTTACGATAGTCACGCGGACCCCAACCAAGTAGTCTGTATCTACCAACATAGATCAGACCAGAAGTCAGTGACTTCAAGCACTGATGCCACGTTTTGGTTTGGCCGTCCCTAAATTTCTCCCAACCATTCCCAACACTAGTCAGCATTGCGCGTCGTGGTAATCGGTGTTCAAGTATAAGTAACGCATGGCCCAACCATCTCAGTCGATGAAGATTCACAACTGCATCAATCCCTCATGCCTTGTGTCTAACCTCACTGTTACCCCCCTGGCGATCTCATCAGATGCCAGCAATATTTCTAAGACATCTGTGATCAAACACTAGCAAATTACAAGTATCTTCTACTGTTAATGGCCACGTTTCACAGCCGTTAAGTAGAACGGAATGAACTGTTTTATATCTAACATTACTATGATTTATAAATAGTGCTTATTTTGAGGCTTACATCACGTATTGGCTATAGTTGGTCAACCATTGAAAACTAAAAAGCACTAAATGGTTGATTCGTTCTGGTAAGTGACTTCTCAATAGTGCTCAATCTTACCAGGCTTCGAAATCAAAATCTTTAAACCCTAAATAGAGTGATTTAGCTTTAGATTGTTAAGTCGGAATCCGATGACCCATACTTCTAAATTCAATCGGTAATACCTGTTTCTGATCATAGCTCCTCATTAGAAATCCAGAAGCATCTGTCTAATTTCTAGCAGTTGTCTCGCTAAAGTCAGTTCGTAATGTAAACCACTACATTGTATGCTACTAATAATCACGTGTTCACATGTGATAAAATTTAGAGTAGATCTCTCAAGTTTTCGTCAGAATTTGTAATTGATGTAAACCAAACATATCAAACATGAAACAGTTACCACTGATAATGACAGATGATGATTGTGATGTATAACGAGTAAACCAGAATTAGAAATGAGAAGTATAAGATCTCGTCTCAGTTGTTTTAAGATTATAGACTGGCCACAAATCCCTAACTTCTAGGTTTTGCTCCTCAGTAACATCATTGTTGTGTAAAGTTAAAGGGTGCGATATAATGATAAAATAATTTCCTAGTGATTACTGATTAAAAATGATAATAAACTAAAACAGTCTAATCACATTTACTTATTTTTTATCCATCCTTATGTAACTATTGTTCTCTTCTGAATAACTTGTGTGCTGTTTCGTTTATTTCAATTAACAGCATTTATCAACATCGTTAATTTATCTAGCAGATAACTATACAGATCATGATATAGAATCAACATCATCTTTATGTTCTACAACAGAAACACTATCTTCAATAAAAAATTCAATTAACACTCCATCATCAATATCATCTATTAGAACAAGAACAAATTCTGTACAATCACCTAATCATGAACATCAAATTCATTTGATGCAAAAAATAAAATTAAATGAAGCATCAAAACCTATAAATCATATGTTTCATTCAACTCCAACATTATCTTCACCTTTATCTTTATCAGGTTCCATCTCTTCCTCCTCTTCATCCTCCTCCTCATCATCAACATCATCGGCTACGACTATTCATGAATCAATGATAAGTAAAGAAACTGTTATGGATTCTTCAAGTCCAATTATACAATGGTCAAAGTAAGTTCAATTCGAAAATAGTTTACATGATTGGTTGACATCAGCTCAAGAACCATGGTGGTAACCAATGAATTGTAAAACTAAAATAGTGTAGTTTACTTGTAGCCCCTAATTTTTGGTTGGTTTTTTCACAAACTTAATCACTCCTCTTTACAACAAAATTATTCCCAAATTTATTTGAAAGCGTTTTGTGGAGATTGGTTTAATCTGTAGGTTGAATTTACCATATATTGATCTCAGCTAAGATACCATTACTAACCCAAAGAATACTAGGTGGCTGTTTCGTCCCAGTATAAGACTTCTCACCGGTGCACATCTATCCAGCTCACATAGATTTAACCTAATCGGTGAGTAATACGGCCAAAAAATTAAATCGATGTCTACAAAATCCATTCAACTCACAAGCAAATCAATTGAAAATGTCCCTGAAATGCTAGTAAGGAGTCTTGACTGTTGGAGATCAGACTGAAAAGTTGTCATTAATGACTTTTGGTTTTTAATATGCTACATCGTGAATTTGTTTAATTAGGATCTGTATCGCTGGAAGTCAATCAACTGTTTCAAACTGCCAATCATTTACTACGGGACTTGAAGTTTCATAGTGTTAACTGGTGAAAAATTCCATACTAGAGTAAAACTTCTGTTTAGTACTCCCCAGTTTCCTATATACATTCATGAATCACACAAGCAAACCGATCAGTGGATATACAATTGAAGCATAAAAGATTATAGATTTATCTAATATTTATTGTGTGATAGTTATGGCAAGTAAACAATGAAATTCATGTTGGAATTGTTGTATATTCCCTAATCACTTATTGATTACCATCTACCATACCATACTACTGATTTTTATCTCAAATTTTTCCAAGGCTTTTTCAATCGTTACTTTAATTTGAACTTAACAACAAAAGATGAAAAGATCATGAGTCAGTTGAAGCTAGACCACCATGGGAAACCTGGAAGCACTCGACGACCGTTTCAACATTAACACCATTGGATGCCTGCTCAGTGGCCCAGTAGGTTAAGCGTTCGTGCGCGAGACTGATAGGTGCTGGGTTTGAATCTCGCGAGGCGGGATCGTGGATGCGCACTTCTGAGGAGTACCATAGTAGGACGAAACGGTCGTCCGGTACATCCAGGTTTTCTATCGTGGTCTAGATCCAATTGACTCATGAAATCAACTATTGAAATTACTATAATATCCATAAAAACCTCTACCGATACTAAAAGATGAAATGGCCCATTTTTGTTTTTCAAAAAAAGTATTTATTTCAAGTGTACTTATACTGTAACATTCCGATAGAAATTAAACATTTACACGTAGGCAGGGACAAAAGGAGGGAGATGTGTGTAAGTGGTAATAAAGGCAATTTTACTCAATTAATCAATGACTAACTTTTTCTTATTGAACTACGACGATCAATCTCATATTTGCTTTGCCTTTTAGTGTGGATTTCATTTTATCGATCAAATTATAATATAGTCACTAGTTTGATTGCATCGAGATCGTGTATAATGTATTGAGATATTCTGTGGTTAAAGGTAGTAAGTAGGAAACTCTGTGAAGGGACTAATGTTCCATGTCGAATTTAACTCCCCCCTATCAACCAGCTTTAGTATTTGAGATATTATCATTGAGCTATTCAATTTACTAGAGAGTACTTTCTATCACAAAAAATGTAAGATAAATCCTCTACGTTCAATTTAATGATTGAATAATGAAATAATTGTTAGAAGGTTGGTGGAATATTTACTAACATTCAGATGGATACAAATGTATGTACTGAAATATCACCGCTCTTAGTTCCTTAGAAAAGATTTCCAAATCAATCATCCAGAAAAAGTAATAGAAACTCAACTTTTAATTTGAAAATTGAAAATCAACATGAAACTAGATAAAATATAATTCGCACTTAATAGTAGATAGTCGTTTGACTTTTGAATGTTTAAAGTAACAGACACTAGCTTTGAGCCTATGTGTAAACATCAAGGTTGGAATGCATTTACATTGAACCAACCAGTTTCAAATAGTATATAGTACGAATAAAAGATATTTAAACAAATTAGAATGATTCCTTTTCGTATTCTAAATCAACAAACTTTATTTCTATGCCTTTGCTTATAATTTTGAGAACTAGGTTTAACCAATTCAATTCAATTCCCTTATGATTGTTATTAGCATGAAGTAAATCATCATAAAAAACTATTCCCAAAGGAAAAACAAAGCTACCATTTGATGACTAAGTTTTAATTAGTCAGGCCACTTTCACTTTTTTTTCAGAAAAAATTATGTATGCTTGCCGAAGTAGGCATTAAGAGTTGTCTGAATTGTTAATCTCTTTGAATCGGTATTGTTCAATTCAGCATGAATGAAACAACCAATCAATATGTTCATCGCTGAAATCTTGTGATCCACCTCCATTTATGTTACACAATGGTCATGATAATGATAAAGCTGTACAATCGTATATATAGGTAGTTATTTTTTTATCTGTAGTAGTCTATAGTATAATAGAGTTGCCCAAACTTAGCAAAGATATTGATTGAGGTCATGAATCGATTGATGTTAGACCACCATTGGAAACTTGGAAGCATTGGGCGGCAGTTTCGTCCTATTACGGGACTCCTCAGCAAGGTGCGTTCACGACTCCGCACGCGGGATTCGGACCCAGCACCTTCAGTTTCGCACATGAACCCTTGGCCTCTAGACCACTGATCCAGCCGGCATCCAATGGTGTTAATGTCTAACCCTAATCAACCAAATACGTCATCGGAGGTCCTGGGTTCGAGTCCAACGAGCAGGATCTTATATGTACACTTCTGAGGAGTCCCATAATAGGACAAAACGGCCGTTCACTGCTTCCAGGTTTTGATTGGTGGTCTAACATCAATTGGTTCATGATCTCAATCAAAAACTTGATAATCTCCATAACCCCATACTGGTAATTATTAAAGATAGTCAAACTTATTCAAGATTATTAGAAAGAAATGTCAATTATTATGTACAATAATTGATAGATGGTGGGGTATTATCTCAATTTAATTTAGGTTTTTTTGAAGTATTGAATAAAGAAAGGAAATTATTCTTCGCCGAAACGTCTGCATTATTTCCCATAGTTTTACATTTGTGTAGAAATTTTCTTTACAAATCGATGAAATAATATAACGAGACAATAAAATGAACTTTTAGTTCCCACGGTTTCTGAAAGTTTCTTTAATAACAACACGGGGTTGTAGAGATTGTTGAGGCTTGAGATCATAAAGCAATCAATGTTAGACTACAGATGAGCACTGCTGAGGAGTCCTGAACTAGGACGAAATAGCCGTCCAGTGCTTTAAGATTTTCAATTATGGTCAAAAAGTCGATCGATTTATGATCTCGATTTCTTTTATTAAGTTTTTACGACATAAATCCACCTCTTATTCAATGTATAAACAGAAGTCTATTTTTAAAGAAATGGAAGCTGTACTAGTTCTTCTAAAAATAATTCCCTGGAAAATATCTACTTTATAACCAGAATACATCTCGTGTTACTTCGTTTTCACATTGTATCGTTTGCACTGTATAACGTCATAATAAAATTTCTTGTTAGGGAAATTTGTTCTGAACAAATCGTATGCTCTAAAATGCAAATCATACGGAGTATTTCATAATCTATATTACGAATTGATCTTAGTTAAATAAATATGGACAGCTGTTTCATTTTTAGCTCAAGTCCTTTCAGTGGTATTGACAATCCATGACCCCCCAGCCAATCAAACTGAAAAGCATCAAGTTCCACGGTGAGGGCCTAATTTTTATACCGCATTTTGAGATTTGCACAACCATCTCCCAATTCCATTGGTAATTAAACACTTTATACTCAAATCCTATCAGTCAATGCCATTTAAATGTCAAGCTAACATTAAAAGTCATTGTCTTGAATCTGATCGAGTTATTAGTATGCCATAATCACACTATTTTATCTCATCATTTGGTTTCAGTGATGTTTAAGTTATTTCTTTATCCTATTTCTGCCTTGTTTTCCTTATTCTGATTAGATAACCAAGGGATAATCGTTAACCAAATGAAATGACGACAACACATATACAGTTCAAAGAGAAGCTACACTGCACAACATTTATTTATTACTGTTATTATCTTCATTAAATAACCCCCCTCTTTTAAAAACAAACAAACAAATACCCTGAACAAAATTAATCGTCAACTGACTAAATCATTCATTCTTTATTCATATGTGCATGTGGGTGTGCGTGTGTCCAATCAACTTAATATCGAGTTCAATGTATTCTCATCATTTCAATCCCAACACTGATATCAACAAAAAAAGGCGAGACTATAATTTATGAACGAACCAATCAGATTTATAACAACAGGTCTTGGATTTCGACGCGAAATTCTTTATCTATTTGACATTATAGCCGATGTCAGTTCGTGATGAAAACGCAAAATCTAATTCCTAACCTTAACCATCAACTGTAAATCACAATTTTTATCCTTCACACAGGTTTAAAATCCTCATTTAGCCGTAGTCAGTTGGTGAACATTCTTAAGGTCACTTTGGCGTCGTCCAAAGGTCGTCCATACATTATAGTCCCATCATAAAAAATATCAAAGATATCTAATCAAAAAATTTAATCCATACACATTGACTTGTAGTTAAAAAAGAATCAAAAAGTTTTTTTTTTCATAATTACTATGACATAATGATCTTAATTTTTGGCTTTCTTTTGTACAGTGAATGCAAAATAATAATTTTTACAAATTGTAATCTTATTTTGCAAACATAAATGTGTAATAATAAGAAAACTAAAATATGAAGCGTTATCACTTACTTAATTTAATAGTTTTTGTGTTTGTTCTGATACGGTCAAGAGTGGGCGCAACCAACTCTCTACCTCCACATCGCTACGCGTATACAGATACTCCCACAGAAATCCTACTTACTGCCTTCGCGCGGCAGCGGGTGTTATTTACGAACTTCAGAGCACGAAAAGTGA